AAGCAAGAAACATTAAGTGTTGACTTTATTTTACATTATCATTTATCACGATACTAGCATTAGTGGAAGTTGTGCAGCATTTTCTAACTATTGACCCATGTTCATTTTTTTCTTGCATTGTGCAGGAAGGTCATACATACTGTTGGTCCCAAGTATGCTGTAAAATACCATACTGCTGCAGAGAATGCGCTAAGCCATTGCTATCGCTCTTGCTTTGAGCTTCTTATAGAAGATGGGCTCAAGAGGTTGTCTGATTGTTGTAATTTCATCTGTTACATTTTAGTTCCCTGATGTTATTAAAGGAAAAGAAAAAAGAAGCGAAAATATAAAAGACTGATCTTGGCCCTAGGACTTTGGTCTAGTAGTAAGAGCACAACACGTGATGTGTGGGTTAGGCCCACGTCATGAGCTTGAGCTCTGCCACAGATAAGAGGTCCGGGAATTAATTGGAGAGGGTAAAGGAGTGGACTCATTAATCACCGATCTTTAAACCATGTGCCCCTAGCCCTTAGGTATTTCTCAGTATAAAAAAAAACTGATCTTGAGTTTTGACTTCAAGGTTTAAATATTTGTAAGTTGATGTAACCTCGTTGTATCATGTGGATGCAGCATTGCTATGGGCTGTATATATACAGAAGCGAAAAGTTACCCACGAGAACCAGCTGCTCATGTGGCAATAAGTGAGATATCTTTGTTGGCTATTTTCATAATTTCTCTATTAATGTTTCATAATTGATGTTCAAGTTGCAGGTATACATTACTCTGTTTTCTCTGTTGCATTAATGCTATTGTATCTCCATTATAAATATGTTTTTAACTTGTATTCCAATGTTTTTGCTTCCAATATTTTGTTCCACGTTTTCATGATGACATCTTTATTTCACTTTGATTAGGAACTGTAAGGCGGTTCAGTGAGAAACAGAAAGATAAAGTGGAGGCAATTGTTTTCTGTACTACTACATCACAAGATACAGAGATTTACAAAAGGTATTCTTAGTACATCAATTTTCTAGTAGATAGCGGAGGAAGGAATTCCTTCAGTTCCTATTTCTTTGGGAAGTCCAACCATCCATCTTTCGAGTGGTATTAATTCATACGTACCTTTACTCTGCAGATTGCTTCCACTCTATTTTCCTCGGGATAAGCATGAGGAGGAAGTTGCCCTTCTAAAACTACCTGCAGATGTTGGGGATGAAAATGGGGAGACAACTATAGATGAGCGTAAAATTAGGATAAAACCATTACCAAATGCCAAAAAGTCCAATCCAAGGATTTCCCAGGCCTCTGTTGATTTGTCTGTCAGTAATGTTGGTTTGACCAGGTTAGTGGCGAATTGTGCATCCACACTTGTGGGATTACGCTGGGTATGCTGTTATTTCTGTTTGTACATTATTAAAACGATAAATAAAATAACCCAAACTATTACAATTTTAATATTATCCGTATCCCATTAGAAGTGAGGCACTGTCAAGCAACTATCCTTGTAATTAGAGCTCAGCATCACTTGCGCTGGTAAATTTCAAAAACAAATGCCATTAATACAGGAAACTTCTTGTTACTTCCACAGTGGAATATTACTTGGATGAACATGTTCATGTTTTGATGGATTTTGTCTTCTTTCTACATTCTAGTCTTATTTGTTAAGGATATGCCTTTATTTTTTTATCATCAAGCCTTAATGAAATGATTTTTCTTAAGTAGGAGCTCATCCTATTTGGATGCTTTTCTGGATCCTGCTTTTATGTCCCTGATCAAGGACCCAGATCAGCGACGGAGAGAACAATGGGAAAAAACTGCCCAAGCTCAAACTAGCTGGAACTTCTTTAAAATGTTTGGATATGGTGACGTCGCAGGACCTCCTTTGTCAGCTGCAGAAGAATATTCTCTTCATTCTAGATATCTTACAAAAGCAAATACTCTGAATTTTTCAGAAATTGCAGAAATGAAAATTGTGTAAGCATCTTTGCTGTATATATGTCTCTGCAGACTTTATTTATTATGGTACCTAAAATACATGAAATATCTGTGTCCAGTTGTCCAAATATGTACTTGTTTGGGTACAAAGTGGTTTGATTGATTTTTCATCTTACGAACAACTAGCAAAGTCTCGTTGACATAGTTAGGAACAAGCTCAGATGAACTGTGTTATATTGCTCAACTTCCATGTCACAATTGACTTCGTTTCAGCTACCGAGGAGGGGTTGACAGTGAAGGCCGTCCAGTAATGGTTATTGTGGGGGCACATTTCCTGCTAAGATGTCTTGATCTGGAGAGATTTATTATCCATGTTGTAAAGGTACGTGATACTTACTTGCTTTCCCTCCGCCGCCAAAAATATAGGTTAGATATGATCTATTGTTCATATCTATTGAGCTGTTCAATTATTTGTCATCTTTGATATAACTGCATAAGTTTTCTGTAAAAGATTACATTATATGTCAATTTGCAGGAATTTGAACCATTGATACAGAAACCTTACTCTATTGTGTACTTCCATTCTGCTGCAACTCTACAGATGTGAGTATCATCCTTTCTCACATTGGCCTGTCCCCCTTACTCAGTATGATGAATAAATTTCTTCTTTTACTTTTTTGGTGAAGTTGTATCTGTTTTATGGACTTGTCCAATTAATAAAAGTTGAAGGTTAAACATCGAATGTGTATTTTGTTCTTTCCTTGGGTAATATTATATAATATATGCTCCTTCCTACCTTACAGTTCTATTTTGTTTTGTGATTTTTATAGATATTATTTTGTTGTACCAAAACAGGCAACCAGATCTAGGATTAATGAAGAGGATACAACAAATTCTTGGTCGCAAGCACCAGCACAACCTTCATGTATGCAATGCTTCTCCTCTGTTCCCCTTGTGCCATGGTTCCCCAATGTTTTTACTTGCTATCATACAAGTAGTTGACTTTCTGTATTCTAAATCTCCTTTTTCTCTGGGCAGGCGATATATGTTCTTCACCCTACTTTTGGACTGAAGAGTGCAGTTTTTGGTTTACAACTCTGTGTGGATAATGTGGTACTTGCGGTCCTATTATCCTCCTCTCTGTCTTCTCTCTAATGTCATTCTTGCATTACAATGTGGATTTCATTCTTTTTTCTGAAGACTTGTTTCCTTTTGCACTAATTCTCAGGTATGGAAGAAAGTAGTATATGTAGATCGTCTTCTGCAATTATTCCGCTATGTTCCTCGTGAGCAGCTGACTATTCCTGATTTTGTATTCCAGTTAAGTAATCATTCATTTTTCTGATCATAATTATGAATTTCCAGTGTGAAAACAGCAGAAGTTTTACACATTGTCAGTAGCTCCATTGAGAAAGGTGTGACATAATTGATATCTAATTTGCAAAAATAGCATCTTTAAAGCTCAGAAATAGATATTCAGACTCCTACAAGGGAAATACTGCACTTAGTATCCCTGTTTATTCAATATTTTATTCATGAAACTTGACCCTGCCTAGGGAATTTGTGATAAGGAGTCCTAGAAAAGATCGAGAGTCCCTCCGTAGTCCCTCAAAGATCTCTATGTATTTGTCCAAGACAAATGAGATCTTCAGTGTAGGAGGCTGGAGCAGTTCAAATAAAAAGGTCTGGTTCTTGTCTGAATTCATCTCTCTGAACGTCGTCCAGTTCTTTACTTGCAGAGCTGTCGTTTCCTGTAATATAAGGAACAGAATCGAGTAGATTAAATGGACTGATAATCATATTTCTGTTGCAGGCATGATTTGGAAGTGAATGGAGGGAAGGGCCTAATTGTGGATCCTAGAACCAAGTATGTTTATCAGAGACCATAATCTCAAACTTCATCCGATAAAAGAAGAAAATAGACGCTGTAGTAAGATTGTGGAATTTGTTTATCATTTTATCGCACTTTAAATTTGTTTGTACAGAGGCTGTAATTGTTTTGTGCAATATTAGCAGTGTATTTAGCTAACTTTGTCTGTAATTTGATTTATTTATGCAACCATATGTCCAGTCCTGTGCTAGCTAATGGCAATAAATTTTTTTATTTCTGCAACATTTTCCCTTCTAGATATGTCATTTGAGTCCTAAATGAAGACTTGACCTTCTGAATATTGGTCCAAGAATAACCAGCCTCTTATTTTAAGTTAAAAGTAGGGGTGTGCATTCGGTTTTTTGGTTTGGTTTTATACTATTCGGTTTGGGTTTTCAGTTTTTGGTTTTGAAGAAGTGTAACCCAATCCGAATCAAAATAAATTTGGTTTGGATTTTTTCGGTTCAGTTAATCGGTTATGTCAATAATTAGAAACATAACAAAGTTATATTTGCAATTTGGAAAAAATAATATATATATATACTAAATTTCTTAAATATACTTTTTAATATAAATCACAAGTAAAATGTAAAACACAATACTTAAAAACTTAAAAAGTATATCAATTATAGATGTCCAAACATAAAAGGTAACTAAAAAGGGACAAAAGTGGTTAACTCCAACTTAATTATATATATATATATATATAATTCGGTTTTTTCGGTTTTTATTTTTCTAAATCCTAAACCAAATCAAAAAAACAAACAAAGTAAATTATAAATCCAAAACCAAACCAAAAAACCAATCCAAATTAGAATTCGGTTTGATTTGGTTTGGTTTTTCAGTTTAATCCAAATAGTGCACACCCCTAGTTAAAAGTCATAATCGGTTTCTTTCTACATTTTTCACTTAGACACCTTATCTTGGACTTTGAGTAGGAGCAAAACATGCATTTTTAATGTTTAAGCACAAAATTAAATATGTAAAAAAGAAATTATAGCCAATATCGAATTTAGAAGTTGCAGATTCTGAATAAAGGAAGTCAGTTTTAATATTAGATCAAACTCTATTACACCAGCTTTTTGGTGCACATACAAATTCCATTTAGATTTTTAACGAAAATAATTTATGATTTTTAATTGCCAGAAAATGACTTATTTTCCTTTTACCAAATACACCCGTAATCTGCCTCCATTGTGGCAAAACAAAAAAAGGATTCCATAATACTTCCATTGACATGAATATATGATTCTTTTCTAAATAAATCCAAAAGATGCATTTGGGAGTGCTGTTGATCCAGAAGACATTATGCTGAATACAGAATCAATAACCCAATGGACATCACATCATGATGGTGTCTCAAATTATGTGCTACCAAAACATGTACAAGGAAACCCATAGCTAACAACTTCACACCTGAAATTCATAAACAAAGTCCCTAATGTGTTGTAATAATCATGAAGGTGATGAATTAAAGCCTCATTCACATAGTTTTAGTAAATGGGACAGCAGGAGGATGATCTGCAGGGCATCTTTGCCTCCTCGGACGTCTAGTCGTCTTCCCCCCCCACCCTGTTAGGCTTTTGTCCTCCAAACTGGATACAATGTTACTCAAATTCTGCTTTAGAGGAGGGCATAATGGGGTTGACACAGTGACAGGGGTGGTCTCAATCACCATCCTCCGCCTTCCCCTCGTACCTCCATTCCTTCTCTTCGATCCCGAGTTCCAAGAATGACCTGTAGCTCTCATCAACTCTCCGAAGGTCTGAATGTCTTCAGTCACTTCATGCCTTGACAAGGAAGCTAATCCGGGAAGGATATCCCTTTGAAAGTCCCTCCGCTGTCTTCCCCACCTTCCTTGTCCTCTTCTGGTTCGGTTTGTTAGTGAAGTGGCTCCTGCATCTTCCACTGGTTGGACTTCAGGAACAAAAGGCTTGGGCAGGTAGTCTTGTTCCTTAGTCTCTTCTAGCTGCAATGTCATTGCCTCAAAGTAATCCATCTCCATGGTAGTAGTAGGTCGCGCAACAATCATAGCATCCTCGACTATTATTTCTTTAGACTTGCTCTCAAGTTCACTCTCAAAAGAAACGACTATGCCAACAAACCAACCTAGGGATCCCAGAGGATTATCAGATGGATCACTGCAGATGGTGTCTATTTGACTGGATGATGAAATGGCAACTATAGCTTCCGCTGCGACCCTGACAACTTCATCCTGTGTTTGCTCAGGTTTGTGTTCAGGCAACTGCAACGATGCTTCTTTTTGTTTGCCATTTTCTTTAGACAAATTGTCTAGCTCAGTTTCCAGAACAGGAGGAGCTTCCAAATCTATCTCGACGACAGTCCTCACACTGACATTATCGCTTTCGACAAAGAATGAATCATCATCTTCAGTAATACATGAGTTCAAATCGAAGGAATTTCTGATAATGGTAGCTTTTGTTTCCATTGCTGTCTCAGCAACAACTGCTTCCATGACAACCTGTTTCTCGGGCTCAACCATAGAAAGGTCACAAGCTATGTTAATGTCAATCACTATTCTCCTCTCTTCGTGTCTGCTATTTTCTTCTATGGGTGAGGAACAAAGAGTAGCAGATGTGGAAACAAATGAAGACGACTCATTTTTGGAAGCACATGGAATTTCAGGAATTGGAGCCCCCAGAATTTTCCTGACACTTCGGGTTTCCCCCAACTCTTTTGTGGCCTTCATGTTAAGATCTATCATTGCTGGTGCAATATTCTGCGCATTGCAGACGTCGCTGAAACTTTCCAATGGGCCATTTCCACAGATAGGTGAGTTTGTGTAGGCTTCAACCATTCCATTCATGGTATCTGTACTCTCATTTTTGAAACTTGGTTTAGCTTTAAGCCACGGCAACACTGGTTTACAGTCTTGAGGCTCTCGTTTTTCATCAACCAACTCAAGATCCCTGCTGGCAAGTTCCTCATTTACTGAATCCTTTGATAGTACATTCAAATCGAAACCTTTTTCTGATATCAAGTCCATATTATTGGAGGTAATAGGAAATTTCTCACATTCATTGTTAAAGGAGCGGTCAGATGTCAAATTGTCACTCTTGTTTTGCTTCTCAGAGTCAAAAGCAACAGAGAACCAACGGGTTGATTCTTTGGGCCCAGATGAGGACCCATGGTAAAACCCATTCCTGATGGAGAAATTAGTAGCCTCACCTAAATTTGATCTAGAACTGCCATCAATATGCCACTTGTCTCCAAAAATATCATGGCATTGAGGTGATTTCGGGCTCTTACCAACCATGGCACATGAGTTCAATGACGGGTTTGTATGTCCTGATGATAGCCTTGCAGCAAAGCCACTTGGTTTACCCCAAGAAGAGAGTGTGTGCGACCATGAATCGGTAAACTCTGAGGAATTAGCGAATGGATATGGACTAGCTGTCCGAGAAGTGATAAATGGTCTCCCATAGGTATATTCGGACTTCTCATGATTTCCGTGGAAGGTCTCTGGACCATGCCCCACTCTCTCTTTCCATAGGTCATCCTTGAAATAGTGAGGTGATTGAACCCCAGGACGTAGAAAGGCTTTATCAAGCATTACTTGTGCCAGTTGGCGTGGTGTAGGGAACTTGTTGTGTGAAAAACTATGAGGTACTGGAGTCAAGCTACCTTCGACTTTACCTGCAAAACAGCAAAAGTAAGGAAACATCTGACATACCATCACGAAAATCCATAAAAGAAGGAAATTTTAATGTGGAAGCAACCAAGTCAAGATAGGCGCAGACAACGAAAACTCTGGCAGTTGTATATACCACAGGTATTATTTACCTGTTTCATATGTGGAAGGGAACCAGTCCCTCTCTTTGCCTTTACTAAGGCTTGTATGATGGGAGTTCCATGTGGTTTCTCTAGGCAAAGCCACAAATGCTGGATTTGAATTAGCGGAAGCATTTAGCCTTCTTGTCTCCTTATGACTATTACCATATCCAAGAAAATCAACAGGCAATGAGATTGCTTCTTCAGGCTGAGCTGGTTTATTGAGATCAGCCAACCTGACTGAGCTTCTGAAACACGAATGGGATGCTGAAGCATCTTTTTTATCACTCTTTGTACCAGCACCAGGGAATAATCTTGTACAACTCTCTTGGGAAACTTTATCATTTCCATTAGCACGGGAACTTGGATAGAACGATCCTTCATCATATCGCAACTGCTCAACTTCATCAGTATCTAAGTACTCATCAGCTGGAAGTTGAAGATCGAACATCTTCTTCCGTAATTTTGAGGGCCTGGCATCCAAAGATTCACAGATCTTTGAAGAGCAACCATTATGCATTTGACCGTGACCAGACTGTACATCATTCGCTTTTGAAGAACTGAATGGAGAATTTACAATTTCAGTACCAGACATAGATGGTCTAGCATAACTTGAATTTGCAAAGGGGAAGCTGTTGGTATGGCCTTTCCAAGCATCTTTAGGTAGTAGATGGGATCCAAGAATGTTTGATGAAGATGATGGCTCCATTGATGTCCAAGGTCTATGCAATTCCGTCCTTTTAATGTCATACATCATGTCCCTCTGAGTTCTGTAAAGGCGATGAAGTTCAAATACCTACGAGCAAAGATTTACATAAGTAGACATTTTGCAGCAAGCTGGAAAATACCAGAGGACCAGTATAAAACTAAATATAGAACTTATAACTTAACAGAAAAATGAATGTTGACCAGTAGAGATAGAATTACCTGATTCTTGAATGTTTCCTCGTGTTCAAGTATTTTCTGCTTTAGAACATCCTTATCATATCCAGGATCTGAATCTATCGTAGTCCTTGGCATGAAACCATTACAGTATTGAGCGTTTGTGAAGATTTTCTCTCCATAATGTAGGGGCCATCTATTGTTTAAATCCTCGCTAAGGTAGCTCATGGAGTAATAAGCTGGTACGTAGCCTTTACAATGGGCTTGTGCTACCATTCCTGCTGACAGTAGGAACCAAATCATATAAATAAAACCAAACAGAGTAAGGAATTATGCAAAATAACCATTATTAATAATGAAAGAGCGCAACACATCTGATATTCAGACTGTTTTATGGACCAGGACATCCTTCAAACGTTTAACAAGCTGAATAGCATCAGTATTAGCAATCAGCATTACATGGCAGGTATAGAGAACTGACGGGAAGTGTAAGACAGCATATGTTAACTGGCGGATGCAATATTTATGTTGCACTCAATATAATGACATCATTGGCACAATGCCACTCAAATCTCACATAGTTTAGGTGCCAATCTCTGCATATCAAATTTGCATTTTGAACATATTGTACTCTCTCTGAAGATTTTACTTTACTTCCGCCAGAACAACATAAAAGAAAGCAATTCGTATTCTGCTTCAAGTGGATGACTTTCTCACTTTATATTAGTCTTCCCCGTGAAGCTTTCTCAAGACTCATATGAGTGATTTTGGAGATGATGAATCGATGATGCCAGGTAAGAACACACAAGATTAAATCAATGGAGATTTTAAGATGCTCTTTCAACCGTTCAACACTTCTCTATGACTCCTTAATCTCTTCACATGGTTGTAATCATTTAGACGTGGAAACATGGGAAGATAATAGTATGTCTACCAAGTAAACTTGCACCAGACTGTTCTGATACCAACCAAATGAGGAAAAAAAGGAGCATTTTTCCCTATAAGGACAAGCTAAGCTATACATCTAATTGAGTAAACTGTTTATGATCACTCTTCCTATAGCTGTAAGTCAACACACTCTTTTTGAGTCACTCGCTCGATATAGCACAGGGTTACAGGCAACCAACTCAACAGTCCAGCATACTTCACTGGAATCACCAAGAATAGAAGAGGAAACAAGCAAGACAGTAACAAAAAACAACCAATATCGCAGCTAATCTAGACATTTTTTTATAACCGGTGATGTCCGGACCAGCTTTCGCGCACCTAAACTAATTCCACGAATACCTGACACCTCCCACCAGCAACAGGTGAGTTACTAAATCAAATGTGAAGAAATCACCTAGTGTTTTTTCTTTGCCTCTGCTAGAATTTGAACATGAGACCTCATGGTCCTCAACCCACGTCACTGACCCCCAGGCCACACCCTTGGGTGCCAATCTAGACATTTTCCTACCCAGCAACACTTTAATCCAAAACTCTTCAATTATTAGTGTATCATAATCTAGTAATGAAGATGTAATCTTGCATCAGTAAATGTATTTGAAGGTCACAAAAAAACAGTCCAATAATCACAAAAACAAGCCAATGCAAGCACTTTTGCTAATAAAACGTCAACATTAACTGATGCAATTCAAATCCTTCAACCAAAACTATCAAACTAGAAGGCATTTCATTATTAATGCCCCATTAATTTAGACTAAGAAACCAACTTACATCAGTTAATGAAGCTGGAAAAGATCTCAAATTTAAAAAAAAAAAGAAAAAAAGATCACTTGTCAAATCCAAAACCATAACCAAATTAGTAAATAAGGCAACATAGCATGTGAAATGTATAAAAACTAGAAAAACAGAAACAATAACTTCAGAACCCCACAACTGTTATTACAGATAGTATAAAAACTTGAATAAATTAACACAAAAATGATTAATTGAATATTAAAACAAATCAAATATAGAAAGAATTGATATGGTCCTGGGTCTTAAAGTAAAACAATTATAAATCTACAAAATGTAAGGATTTTACCTCAGACCCCCATCTCCTCAAGAACCCCTTTCTTGAAAAATTACATCTTTTCAAGAATCATGGAGAATTAGCCACACACACAAAAAAAAAAAAAAAAAAAAAAGTAAGTAAAATTAATATTAATGAAATACAAAGATGGTTATTTTGGTAAGAACATTGAAGAAGGTAAGATCCTTATAAAACTGAAGAAAAAGATTAGAGCTTTATCATTTCAACCTTAGGGGCCAAAGCCTCACTGAAAGAAAGGTTCTTTAAGACAGAGAAAAAGAAGGTGTTTTGTGTGTGAGTTTTTGGGGGTGTGGGGTTGTGGGGTGATAGACCTATATTCTGTAGAGAGAGAGATCCCAGATAAGAAATCTATCACACAAACAAACCAACAGTGACATGAAATTTGTCAACATCACATCTCTTTTCTTTTTGCTTTTGTTACCCTTTTTTCCTTATTCCGTGTTCGACACCTATATTGAAGTTCAATTAAATATGGATTTACATTAGATAATTTTATATTAGGGGTAACGATTTCTAACAAAGGTAATTCTATATCTAGAAAATTCAAATCTAAGATCAGAATGAAAAGTATTTACCACTCCACTACAATCTTTGTTGTTCTTTTTTCCTTTTGTTACTTCTGTCTCTCTCTAATTTAATAAGTTGTGGCTTGTTTTTGGAAAGAGTGAATCTCATAAAATGTTAAACTATCATTGTTTTACTAGTTTTCATTTCTAAATTATTGAGTCTTTTATTTATTTTTTGGAGTATAACTTTTTTCTTGAGAAAATTCACCTAGCTGAATATATGACAAAATATTTATGATAACTTGTTGAGAGACATGCAAAAAATGAAAATTTTTAAACAAAAAAAATATGAGTCCAATTGGCATAATGGTTTATTTGGGATATTGTCAATGCTCAATAATTTATGGACTTTTTAAAAAAGGGGATGTTATCTTATTCACGCAATTTCTTCATGTGTATTAACGTGTTGTAACTTGAAACTCTTTAGAGAAACTTTTAAAATGTGATGTTCATAATATTTCTCTAAAAATATTTTAATATGAATTTATGAATAACTTAATTTTGTAAACAGTTAATAATCTAGATATGAAACTCATGCCATGATGATAAGTTAGATTTGTTTTATATATTCACTCTAAATTAAAAGACCACCAAAAATAGTGGTTGGTGCCTTGGTGATAAGGACATTTTCTTCCTTAATAAATGAAAACACTTTTGGTAGAACATTTAACTTTAAAATTGAAAAAATTTAGTACAATTTTTTATTAGTCTGAGTCCAACAACAAATATACAATACTATTATATATAAATTACTTGAATACGATAATTTTTAATGAGAGTTTGATTATAAAAATTACATACTTTTTTCCTTTTTAAAAAAAATCTTGAACTTGAAATTGTGGTTGGCTTCTTGCAAAAAATATTTAGAATTTAAATGTATTTTATCTAAATATTGTTTATACTTTCTAATTTCTAAAAACTAGCAAAATCATCCTACTTGATTAATTTATTTGAAATATATAATTAAATTATAAATCTTATATATGAGCTACTAAATATTATTTTCTTCTTTTTCTTTTTTACTTTATTTTAAAAAATTCGAAGTTAGAAGTTGAAGATTATAATTTTTTTACTGTAAATATTTGCATAATTTAAGACATGAAAAGAAGTACAATGCTACTGCTAGAGTTGTAGGACAAGTTGACAATAGAAAAAAAAAAAAAAAAAAAACAGGACCCATTGAGAGTGTGGGGTTGGATGAGGCTCGTTATATTTCATCCGTTCATTTTTATTCGTTCATTTTTAATTTTGTACGTTTTTTCAAAAAATATTAAAGTAACTAATATGAATATTTTACTGTAATATCATATTAATTAATATATAGTATTAAATTTTTAAAAATAAATAATTAATATTAAAAATAAAATAAGAAAAAAAATTATTTTTCTTAACATATTAAAAATAACAAGTAAATATAAAATTTTATTTTTGAAAGAAGAGTAAAAGTGAACAAAGGGGAGTTACATTTTGTGTTTTCCTTCTTCTTTTTTTTCATCTTTTGTTCAGTATTCACGTTAGAGTTCGATTAAATTCAGATTCATCGAAATTGAATTCACGCTTGAAAATTCCACATTAGGGGTGAAGTGTGCTCCTTAACAAAGACAACTTCGTACCCAAGCAGACTCGAACTTGAGACCTCTTGATTACGGATAAAAGAGAAGTTACCACTTCATCATAACTTTTGTCGATGATTTTGTGTTTTTTTAGGGTAGGGCTAACAAAGTATTTTGCTAAAAAACCCTTCAAGTTTTTGGAAGGTAAGATTTGATGCTTTCTGAATTCTGATTTGTGTCTGATTGGTTGATACTCTGACAGAAAAAAGTATATAGTATAATAAAGTTAATTATATTGTGGGGTACTGTCATAAAAGCATGTATAGTAAGAAAATGTCATTATATGTGTCATGTACCAACGTGGTACTTGTAGAAACACAAACACTTATATACGTTCGAGACTCTAATACGGACTTCGAACATCAAATAAAAAATTAAAAGAGAAATAATATAAATCTATATATTGTTTTAATTTAAGATTGAACAAATTTAATAGCAAGATAGAGATAAGAATGTATATACACTGTCTTTCACAAATTTTATTTATGTGATTGCACTAGTATATATTTGCTGGACGAATTTATTAAAGCGTTGCTTTTTCTATCTTAATTTATATGATTTGATATGAACTTTAAGAAAAAAAAAATTCTTACATCAACTCACCCTAAATTTCATACTTACTTTCCTAAATATGTACTTACCTTTTCAGACAATTTTCTAGCAATTTTAAAATTTTAAAGCTTTGAGCTACAATAATAGTTACCTGTGGAGTTTTTGCAAGCCACACCCACTCCAAAAAGTTCTTTTCTCTTTCGTAAAGATCAACATAACATAAAAAATAAAAAACATTCGAAGCGTATTTACTTTCTCTCTTTTTACTTTCACGACCACATCTTTTTCTATTCCGATTAATGTCATAAAAAAATATCGAGAATGCAAAGGAAGAGATCAATATTCTGAGTTGTTGGGCTAATAGATGAAAAGTAAGTTTCAATTTATATAAAAGCCGGATCATATTAGGTAAAAAATAATGGCATTGTTACATCAATTGATACCAACCAATAGTGAATGTAATTATCTCACAAAAAATAATTATAAGAATCATTAAAAGATTATAATTCTATTGTTAATTGAAGTTTTAAATTTGAGAGACAATTATATAGACAACACATTTAATTTATCAATTATTATATTATTATGATAATACAATATTTTGAAAAATTATATTATTTTTCATCGTTATAAATTTGAATTGCTCGATTGGATTTAAATGCAAGCTCTAGCTTTAACTTTAAATGAAAATAAGTACTATTAGTTAGTTGAATTATAATTTTTCTAATTATTAGAACTAGATGCAAGTAGTGTGAGCCAAAGTGGTTGACATTTATGTAAACAAAACAAAACATAAAGTACTTAATATGATATACTATTTTTTTTCACTGATATACTATTCAAATTGAATAATTTAATTGGCTATCATTTTTTTCTCTCAACCGCTAATTAAATTCTAAAAAAAATATTTAAAATTGTTCCTGAACTATACAAAATGAATACCCCATGTTAATATAATAATTGGGATCTAGACTACCGCAATGTAGTACTTAAGCCAATTTCATATGCAAATAATTTGTCCAATATCAAGAAGAAGTTATCTTTGACAGACACATGAAATCTTAAATTATATTTAACTCAAAGAATACTCATATGACTGTGATGAATTATAACCCACTTTTAGAACATGATTCCTAGCATTCATATCAAATAAATCGAATACTTCTTATCGTGTAAAACTATGATTGGATTAAAACACACAATGTATGAAACAAATAATTGATTTTTCTTGAATTTTTTTTTCAAACAATAACTTTTAAATACCTGAATTGTCTTTTTTAGCAATGAACTCTCCGTTAATATTTTTTTTAAAAAATTATTAGTTAAAAAATGAAAATCACTCACATATATATTGAAAACTAACCGTGCTAACTTGGATAACACAAAAACTAAAATCAAATTATAGCATTAATATAAGGACTAAAAGTATCATTTCTTTTCTTATATAATATTAATTTTTTGACAAGGTCATGTTTCATATTCTTAAAAACAAAGAAAACTAAAGAACATATATTTTCAAAATCTATGAGTTATGACCAATCCATTTTAAAATAATTTAATTTAATTCATAGAAAAAATTACTATATATACATCTTATTTTACCATATGCTCTAAAGTTTCTTACCATTTGAAAAAAATATAAAAATCCCTACTCTTTTCTATTTTCGGATACATCACTTTACGCGGTATATCAAATTGTAAGTAAGGTATTGAAACATTGATCGATATATTCGAATCGAGACAATGTATCGAAACTTTGAGGAATATATCTGAAACCGATAAACAATGTATCAGAATATTTTAGAATGTATCTGAATTCCACAGAATTTTATTTTATTTTTAATAATTTGAAAAAGAATAAAAGATTTGTATAAATTTTTTCAACATTCTTCAAAAGAAAGTTTAAATGCAGAAGAGAAGTTAAGAAAACCCTAAAAATATAAAAGGGGGCTTTAGGCGGAGGCGCAGGTGTTGAGAAGCTTCATTTGTTAGTGAAAATGTCTGACGAAGAGCACCAATTTGAATCAAAGGCAGATGCCGGAGCTTCCAAAACTTACCCTCAACAAGCTGGTACTATTCGGAAGAACGGTTACATTGTAATCAAAGCTCGTCCTTGCAAGGTTTCATTTTTGCATCTAATTCTACTTTTTTGTTAGTAATTTTGATTATTTGTACAATAGAGACGGATTCAGGATTTGAAGCGAAGTTCAAATTAATATATGATGATAACTGCGGTTCAGTATTTAGTAAATTTATTATTAAGTTCATGGATCTGGTATTGGATTTTGTGTAGTTTATCTGGAAAATGTGAAGTAGTTAATTATCAGTATACAGAGTTACCTGGTATTTGGTGTAAGTTGACAGGTATGCCGTGGAGTTAATGGAAGTGACACAGTGGCTAATTCCAGCTACCTGCTTTATTATATGTTAAAAGTAGATAAAAATTTCTGTTTGCTAGTATAAATAGTAAAAAATGACTAAATCTCATGGAAAAATATATTAACATTTTGAAAGTATTGGTGTTAGAATATTATTAGCATCAACAATAATATTGATTAACAGACT